CAATACATTTAGAAACATAAAAACCATCTCTCTATATATAAATGCTCTGTGCATAATCTTAAAAACAAAAGATCCAGTGAACGAAATCACACCAAATTTGGCAACAAAACATCTCACAACACAAGGAGTGACCTTCACTCAAAAAATTATGATTTTGTCATTTGGGAGTTGTAGTTGCTGGGATTTATAGTTCACCTACAATCAAAGAGCATTCTGAACTCCATCAACGATGGAATTGAACCAATCTTAGCACACAGAACTCCCATGACCAACAGAAAATACTGGAAGGGTTTGGTGGGCATTGACCTTGAGTTTGGGAGTTGTAGTTCACCTACATCCAGAGAGCACTGTGGACTCAAACAATGATGGATCTGGACCAAACTTGACACAAAAATTCCATATGCCTAAATATGAACACAGATGGAGTTTGGGGGAAATAGACCTTGACATTTGGGAGTTGTAGTCACTGGGATACAGTTCACCTACAATCAAAGAGTATTCTGAACCCCACAAACGACAGAATTGGGGCAAATTTCCCACACAGAACCCCCATGACCCACAGAAAATACTTAAGGATATCCAATCCAACTCCCTTCATCAGGGAAGGAAAACATAATCAAAGTCCTCCTGATAAGGAGCCATCCAGCCATAGATATAGATAGATAGATAGATAGATAGATAGATAGATAGATAGATAGATAGATAGATAGATAGATAGATAGATAGATAGATAGATAGATAGACCTAGTTGTAGTTGCTGGGATTTATAGTTCACCTACAATCAAAGGGCATTCTGAACTCCAGCAATGATGGAATTGAACCAAACATGGCATACAGAACTCCAGTGGCCAACAGAAAACACTAGAAGGGTTTGGTGGGCATTGACCTTGAGTTTGGGAGTTGTAGTTCACCTCCATCCAGAGAGCACTGTGGACTCACAGTGATAGACCTGGACCAAACTTGGCACGCATATTCCATATGCCCAAATATGAACACAGATGGAGTTTGGGGGAAATAGACCTTGACATTTCGAGAGTTGTACTTACTGGGATTTATAGTTCACCTACAATCAAAGAACGTTCTGAACCCCACCAACAACAGAATTGGGGCAAACTTCCCACACAGAACCCCCATGACCAATAGAAAATACTCAAGGCCATCCAGTCCAACTCCTTTCACCAGGGCAAGAAAACGTAATCAAAGCCCTCCTGACAAAGAGCCATCCAGCCATAGATATAGATAGATAGATATGATTCACACACACACAGATATAGTATCATAGATTTGAAAGGGACTCCTGAAGAAGGACAATGATATGTTGCATGTTCCAGAGTAGGCAAACCAGACACTCTCCACATCAACACTGACAAAGAAACAGCAAGAAATACTGTTTACCCACAAGCATAAAGACATTACATATATTAGAAACCAACACTTTCTCATTACTTTATTTTCCAGATTGGGCCACTGCAACGCGTGGCAGGGGACAACTAGTGAATAATAAAATTTTTAAAAACTATGTTCTCTTGTTCAAATCCTCATCCATTCCATCGTCTTAACCGTTCCTGGGTCATTTTCCGATTCAAGTTTGTCTGTTTATCCTGAGGTTCCGAATGCTTGCTCAAAGAGCCAAGTTTTCACTCTTTTTCGGAAAGTCAGGAGGGAGGGGGCTGATCTAATATCCCTAGGCAGGGAGTTCCACAGCCGAGGGGCCGCCACAGAGAAGGCCCTGTCTCTCTCGTCCCTGCAAAGCAGGTGGGATGGAGAGCAGGGCCTCCTCTGACAATCACATCCTTTCTTGAATCAACTTGCATGCTGCTTGTGTGTATCTGTGTGCTTTCAACCCACCTGCTGCTTACTATCTAAAATGCTAATCCCAACAAGGCAAGAGAGATGATTTCTTGTTCCCGGTGCATTTTGTATCTTAAATTGCTTTTGAATTGCCGTGGTTGTGTCTCGTCCCCAAGATGAATAAGTGATGGCTCCCAATGTACGCTCTTACAGAAATGAGCTTGAGAGTGTCCCAGTAATGGCACATGCGTGTCTGCCCGTGTGCCGGTGAGACTTACTTCCAAACAAAAGCTATATTTAGTCCGCAGCCAGGTAACGCCGGTTGGTTTGATCTTCCCTTCTGCCTCCATCCTGACCTCGGGAGACCACCCACCTGAGCGAGGAGCCTCCAAAAATACGAAACCCTTCAGTTTTCATTGTTCTCTTTGGGAAGGGAGGGGTCGGAAAGGGGACGAGCCGGCACTATTGACTGCAAAGAGTCTCCAGAGGTACCCATTTCCCAAAACGTCTCTGTTCGGGCAAGCCCAGGGGCCTTATGTTGACGGAAAACACGACAGTGTTCCCGATTATGGGACTGGGGTTCAGCCCAAATAGGAACACAATGATCAGAGATAACAGCAAAAGCAGACACATATAGATAAATTCCTCATTATGAAAATGTTCCATTTTGACCATATAAGAGGCACAAAATATGATCCCGTGGCGGCAGCCAAGAGGCACTTAAGGTAAACCTCCGGGATTTTTGGTTTCATTTCCTTAAAGCAGTCAGTCCTTCTGACATGTCTGCTGTCTTCATTAGAAATGGCAGGTTGTAAGTATTAGTTCTTGGGTGTGTTTTAAACATTGTAAACCCAAGCACTGTATATTGCCGTCTTGGATTTTTGTAAATTCTTAACATTTTTGAATCTTCTTAATTCCCCCATTTGATGCTGTAATTAACAGATAATGATGATGATGATGATGATGATAATCCAGAGAAGCTATTGAAGTCCACAAGAAGCACGTGGACAATTTCAACAGAAAGGAGGAAACCATGAAAATGAACAAAATCTGGCTACCAGTATTAAAAAACTCTAAAATTACAACAGCACAACAACAGAGAGGAAACAATCTGGGACATCTAATAGGCCTGGGTAACAACGGAAAAATTTGTTTCTAAACTCGTTTCGTTTTTAGGGGGTCCATTGCGTTTCGTTTTTTAAAAGAATTCCGAATTTTTTCTTTAAAAAATTTCGTTATTTACGAAATTTTGTAAATTTCGAATTGATTCGTTAATGGCGGACGCGATTGCGCAATACGCTAAAAAACCCTCCAAATGGGACAGGGGGAACTTCTGAAGCTTCCCTCTCCCTCTGTTGTTGACTGTTGGTGTGATAATTTATTTTTTATCACTGATAAAACAAACAACAACTATAAAACTGCACCAGACATACGGAAATAATTACGAAACAATTTCAAAACAATTTCGACCAATTACGAAACAATTACGAAATAAATTGGAAAAATTGTTTCGAATTTTTAATTACTCCTCACAGTACCATGGCTCAATATCGGATCGTAAGCTAATTTAAATACGAATTAATAACGAATTATGAAATTAACGAACGAAACCGCCCAAGCCTACTAATCACCTCTCAACAAAAGTTTGCTCCAGGCACTGTCAGGCCATTATATGCTAATCAAGGTGGTCAGTTGAAACATTCACACCTAGCTCCAGCAGACAAGAGTCCTTTGTCCCATCCTGGTCATTCCACAGATATATAAACCCTTTTTCCTAGTTTCCAACAGACCTCACAACCTCTGAGGATGCTTGCCATAGATGCAGGCGAAACGTCAGGAGAGAATGCCTCTAGAACATGGCCATATAGCCCGAAAAAACCTACAACAACCCAGTGATCCCGGCCATGAAAGCCTTCGACAATACAATAATAATAATAATAATAATAATAATAATGATGATGATGATGATAATAGTGTGGTTTTCTGGCATTGTATATTTCTGCCACTTCTGTGATTGTTCATTTGTATTTTGATTCTGTAGCCCACTTGTCAATGGATGTCCAGAATCAGCAGCGTCCACCGCAGTCCTTTTTATCCTGGGCGTCGACAGAGCCAGTATAGACTTTTTTTGGTTTGTTTCTCCATTGTGCTAATGGGTTAGGTTAACAATAATAATAATAAGAATAATAATAATAACCTTTATTTATACCCCGCTACCATCTCCCGGAGGACTCGGTGCGGCTTATAAGAGGCCGAGCACAAATACATCAATAAAAACAACACAGCAATACAGACAGTAAATAACTCATAAACAAAGCAATAAACAATAACAGTAACACCACGACGCATTAAAACCTATGGCAGGGCTAAATGTAATAATGGTATTGTTCAATGCAGTTAAGGAGCCCCTGGTGGCGCAGTGGGTTAAAGCACTGAGCTGCTGAGCTTGTTGATCGAAAGGTCGCAGGTTCGATTCCGGGGAGCGGCGTGAGCTTCCGCTGTCAGCTCTAGCTTCTGCCAACCTAGCAGTTCGAAAACATGCAAATGTGAGTAGATCAATAGGTACCGCTCCGGCGGGAAGGTAACGGCGCTCCATGCAGTCATGCCGGCCACATGACCTTGGAGGTGTCTACGGACAACGCTGGCTCTTCGCCTTAGAAATGGAGATGAGCACCACACCCCAGAGTCAGACATGACTGGACTTAATGTCAGGGGACTACCTTTACCTTTACCTTTACAATGTTTCTGGAGAGATGAGTCTACGTTGCTCATACAGCGCAGTTTCAAACTGGATTATGTGGCAGTGTAGATGGGCCGTAAGTCAATAGGCAACTCAAATGCACACACAAAGTTATGTTTTTTTTAAAAAAAAATAGATGGCAACCAGCATGGCATAACGGCCAGAGTGTTGGATTAATCTGATTTAAGGCATCTTAGTAAATAAACTAACATATAGTGAGAGCTAGGAAGTTAAAATGCATGCTGGTCTCTTGTGGCTTGTTCCCGGTTGCCCCAAAGGCAATGACATCAAGAATTCAGTTTTTTTGCTCCATTTGATTTCCTGCCTTGCGATGAAAAAATGGTGGAAATAATAAACGCAGCTTTAGATCCTGGGGGAAAGCAGCAAACCCAATGAACAGAAGCACCTTAGACAAGGTTCGGAGTGAGATCGGATTGCCTAGCCACTTGCTCAGCTTGTTCTTTCCAAGAGCCTTTGGAAACGTCCCTTTGATCTACATGAGAAGACTATTTAAGAAATTTATCTGTCGTGCCCCACAGAGGCGATTTAACCCCCACGATCGAGAACTGAAATCGAGTGCATACCTTCCCCCTTCCAACCTAAAACTATTTGAAGACTTCACCATGAAATATGAGATTCAGACATGTGTCTTTAAGGGACTGAAGACAGAAGAAGTAATTATGAAGGGAGTTTTTAAATAAACTGCTGGGATTGCCAATTCAAGGTTCCAGTGGATTAAAATGTGTGTGCGTCTTTAAGTCGCCTAAATACTTAGGGCGGCCCCATGAATTCCACGAACTTTGAGTTGCTCTGAGTTTTCCGGGCTGCCTGGCCATGTTCCCAGAAGCATTCTCGCCTGATGTTTTGCCCACATCTATGTAAGGCATCCTCAGAGGTTGAGGGGTCTGTTGGAAGCTAGGCAAGTGAAGTTTATATATCTGTGGAATGCCCAGGGTGGGAGAAAGAACTCTTGTCTGTTTGAGGAAGGCGTGAATGTTGCAATTGTTCACCTTGATTGGACAACACAATGCAAGCACCCTTCCTGGCATTGCTGTGTCCCACATGGGGGTTCTGTGTGGGAGTTTGGCAATTCTATCATTGGTGAGGTTAGAATGCTCTGTGATTGTAGGTGAACTATAAATCCCAGCAACTACAACTCCCAAATGTCAAGATTCTATTTTCCCCAAACTCCACCAGTGTTCACATTTGGGCATATTGAGTATTCTTGTAGAGTTTGGTCCAGATCCATCATTGTCTGAGTCCACAGTGATCTCTGGATGTAGGTAAACTAAGGACACTGCCCACCAAACCTTTCCAGTATTTTCTATTGGTCATGGGAGAACTTGTGCCAAGTTTGGTTCAATTTCATCGTTGGTGGGGTTCAGAATGTTCCTTGATTGTAGGTGAATTATCCAGCAACTACAACTCCCAAATGACAAAATCATTTATTTTTGAGTGAAGGACATACATTGGGTTGTTAGGTGTCTTGTATCCAAATTTGGTGCCAATTCGTCCAGTGGTTTTTGAGTTCTGTTAATCCCACAAATGAACATTACATTTTTATTTATATAGATAATATAATACAATATAATACCAATAATAATACAATATTATATTTATATATTATATATTACATGGGAGGAAAGAGGGAAGGAAGGAAGAATGAAAGGATGGAAGGGAAGGATGGAAAGAGGGAGGGAAGGGAGGAAGCAAAGACAGAATGGAGGGATGGATAGAAGGATGAATGAGTGGAAGGGAAGGATGGAAGGAGAAAGAGGGAGGGAAGGGAGGAAGGAAAGACAGAAGGGAGGGATGGATGGAAGGACGAATGAGTGGAAGGGAAGAATGGAAGGAGAAAGAGGGAGACAGGTAAGGAAGGAAAGACAAAAGAGAAGGGAGGAAGGGAGGAAAAAGAGAAGGAATGAAGGAAAAAACAGAAGAGAAGGAAAGACAAAAAGTTTCTTCTTTCTTTATTTATCGTCCTTTACTTTATTGACTTTCATATTCAATGACAAACTAAATACATAAACTAGCCATCACTAAAGTCCCTCACCGAATCCCTCCCTTACCTTTATTTTCTTTCTTTTTTCTGTATTGTCATTTTACCTTTTCGTCATTTAGCTTTTTGGGGCTTTTTAAATACCTTCTACTGTGTTTTTCAAAATCAATTTTTTGAGTGAAGGACATACATTGGGTTGTTAGGTGTCTTGTGTCCAAATTTGGTGTCAATTCCCACAGTGGTTTTTGAGTTCTGTTAATCCCACAAACGAACATTACATTTTTATTTATATAGATTTTGGGCCTTTCTATCCCACCCTTCTCACCTCTGGACTTACAGATCCTGGAACATGGCCATACAGCCTGGAAAACTCACAGGAATCCACTGATTCCTGCCATGAAAGCATTCGAACACACCATGAACTTTTCTTTGCCAACAAGAGACCAAATTGCCAATATCCGGATGCTGGATAATGGAGAAAGGTAGGGAGTTTCAGGAAAAACATCTATTTCTGTTTTACTGACTGTTCTAAAGCCTTTGACTGTGTGGCTCATAACACATTGTGGCAAGTTCTTGGTGGTCTGGGGAGACCAAATCACCTTGTTTGTCCCCTGAGGAGTCTGTATCAAGACAAAGTAGCAACAGTAAGAACTGATCATGGAACAACATGGTTCAAGATTGGGAAATGCATACGGCAGGGTGGTATACTCTCACCCAACCTATTCAACTTGTATGCAGAACACATCATGCGATGTGTGGGCCTTGAGGAATGCAAGGCTGGAATTAAAATGCTGGGTGAAATATGAACAACCTTAGATATGCAGATGATACCACTTTGATGACTAAAAGAGAGGAGCTGAGGAGCCTTCTAGCCAAGGTGAAAGGAGAAAGGGCAAAAGCTGGGTTGCAGTTAAACATCAAGGTGATGGCAACCAGACGGATTGAGAACTGGCAAATAAAGGGATAAAACCTGGAGGCAGCTACAGACTTTATATTTCTAGGCATGAAGATGACCGCAGACAGCAGCCAGGAAATCAGAAGACGTTTCCTTCTTGGGAGGAGAGCAATGTCCTATCTCAATAAAATAGTGAAGAGTAGAGACATCACACTGGCAACAAAGATCGGCATAGTTAAAGCCATGGTATTTCCCGTAGGAACCTATGGATGTGAGAGCTGGACCAGAAGGAAGGCTGAGCGAAGGAAGAACGAGGCTTTTGAGCTGTGGTGTTGGAGGAAAGTTCTGAGAGTGCCTTGGACTGCGAGAAGATCCAACCAGTCCATCCTCCAGGAAATAAAGCCTGGCTACTCATTGGAGGGAAGGATACTAGAGACAAAGTTGAAGTACTTTGGCCACATAATGAGAAGACAGAAAAACATACCCACCAAGAAAATCCAACAATGCTACATTCAGCAAAGGACAAGAGGGATCCTCTCACCTCTGCAGGAGTCTACTATATACCATGCAGCTGTGGACAAGTCTACATAGGGACCACCAAACGCAGCATTGCCCAGACACGAATCAAGGAACATGAAAAGGCACTGCAGACTACTTCAACCAGAGAAGTCAGCCATAGCAGAGCATCTGATGAACCAACCTGGACACAGCATATTATTTGAGAACACAGAAATGCTGGACCACTCTCACAACCACCATGTCAGATACACAAGAGAAGTCACTGAACTCCACAAGCATGTGGACAATTTCAACAGAAAGGAGGAAAACATGAAAATGAACAAAATCTGGCTACCAGTATTAAAAAAACTCTAAAATTACAACAGCAAACAACAGAGAGGAAACAAACAAGGACATCTAATCACCTCTCAACAAAAGTTTGCTCCAGGCAATGTCAGGCCATTATATGCTAATCAAGGTGGTCAGTTGAAAAATTCACACCTAGCTCCAGCAGACAAGAGTCCTTTGTCCCACCCTGGTCATTCCACAGATATATAAACCCTTTTTCCTAGTTCCAACAGACCTCACTACCTCTGAGGATGCTTGCCATAGATGCAGGCGAAATGTCAGGAGAAAATGCCTCTAGAACATGGCCATATAGCCCGGAAAAACCTACAACAACCCAGTGATTCCGGCCATGAAAGCTTTCGACAATACAGAAGACAGGAAAGCTTGGAGAAGATAATGATGCTGGGGAAAATGGATTCTTCATTGTTTAAGTCCACAGTGCTCTCTGGATATAGGTGAACTACAACTGCAAAACTCAAGGTCAATGCCCACCAAACTCTTCCAGTATTTTCTGTTGGTCATGGGAGCCCTGTGTGTCAAGTTTGGTTCAATTCCATCATTGGTGGAGTTCAGAATGCTCTTTGATTGTAGGTTAACTATAAATCCCAGCAACTACAACTCCCAAATGACAAAAAACCCCCCCCCCCCAACCCCACCAGTATTCAAATTTGGGCATATTAGGTATTTCTGCCAAATTTGGTGCAGTGAATGGAAATACATCCTGCATATCAGGATGTATTCATATTTATTTATTTAATAATAAATAGTAGTAGCAAAATTACAATTATGAAGTAGCAACTGGGACAGTTGCGCAGCTGGCTGGGAGTCAGCTGCATTAAGATCACTACTGACCAAAAGGTCATGAGTTCGAAGCTAACCCGGGTCGGAGTGAGCGTCCGACCAATTTTGTGTAGCTTGCTGTTGACCTTTGCAGCCCAAAGACAGTTGCAACTGTCAAGTAGGAAATTTAGGTACCTTAACTTTAACGAATTTACAATGCCATAAAAATCTCCAGAAGAAGAAGGAAAAGAAGGAGAGAAGGAAGGAAGAGAAGGGGAAAAAAGGAGAAGGGAGGGAAAGAGAAAGGAGAAAAGGAAGGGAAAGAATAAAGAAGGGAAAAGAAGGGAGGAGGAAAGAGAAGAGGGGGGCGGTGATGGAGGAGGAGAGCAGGGGGGTGTAGATGGAAAGGGAAAGGGGGAGAAAGTTAGAGGGAAAGGGCGAAGAAAAAGCGAGGAAATGAGGGGACAAAAAAAAGGGAGGAAGAAGAAAAGAAAGAGAAAGAAGAAAGAAAATAAAAGAAGGAAGGAAAGAGGTAGAGAAGGAAAGAAAGTGGAAAGGAAAGAAAAGGGGGAGAGGAAGGAAAGGGGGAGAGAAGGAAGGAGGGAGAGAAAGAAAGAAAAAAGAGAAAAGGGAAGGAAAGAAGGAGAAAGGAGAGGAAGAAAGAAGGAGGGAGGGGAAGGAAGGACAAGAGATAGAGAAATAGGCATGGATAGTATAGGGGGAAGGGCGGGATATAGAAAAAGGAAGAGGAAGAGGGGTGAGATAGAGGCAAAGAAAAAAGGGGGGGGGAAGGAGAATGAAAAAAGGGAGACAAGGATGACAGAAGGGTTGGAAGAGATGGGAAAATAAAGGAGAAAGGAAAAAGAAAAAAAAGAAAAAAAAAAGAAAAAAAGAGAAAGAAGAAAAAAAAAAAAAGAAAGAGAGAAAGGAAAGGAGAGGGAAAGAGGGAAGGAAGAAAGAGGGAGAAAGAAAAAAGAGAAAATGGAGTGGGGGAAGGAAAGAAGGAAAAAATAAAAAAGAAAGTAAAGTAAAAAAAAAGCCTCAGGTGAGCAGCGCGACGAAGGTGATCGACTGGAGGGGTCCCGACGAAATGCGCAAGACGCGCGCGCCCCTCGCCGCTGCGGCGCCGGCGACGCGCGACATGCCTTTGCGGTTCGGGGCCCCTTCGGGCTGCGGTTGCGTTACAACCACGTCCGGCAGGACCTATCCCCGGCCGAATTGCGTACGGAGCACATCCTGGACAATGGGCGAGGCGGGCCGCACCCTCGCGCGCGGCCGACCCGGGGCCTCGTGCAGCTAGGTGTATACCTAATTGGCCACTCACCCCGCCAAATAGACCCCCGGTACTAAATGAACGATATTTAAGTCTTTTGAGGATTTTTGACGGTCTTATATCTCATATCATCATTAGATAAAAATTACTAAAAAACCGCCACCCAGCAATTAATTAAACAACTATAGCGCATTAACATTGTGTTTTGGTTCGTAGTTGGTTTGAGGTTACTATGTCCTGGGTTTTTCAGAGCAAGCGGTCAGCGCAACCCCCCTGCCCACCGCCCAGCACCCAAGCTGTTTTCTTTTTGTTTCTATTTGTGGTTAATGAGAAGTTTTAACACTATATTATTATGTACGTGCCGTAAATAATTCACGGCGCACGCTTGGCGTCAACAAGCCATAGGACAGTTGACAAACACTTAAGAGGAGACCCTCCCGAGGCCTTTTGCAGAGACAAAAGGAACCTGAATGCAACTGGTCCACTCTTCAGTCGTCACATGCCAGTTCTTGTCTTCCCTGAAGAGCCCGAGTATAACATTTGCATTTCCTCCATTTAGAGTTGTTGTTATTATACATCAGTGGTTCTCAACCTTTCCAATACCACGCCCCTTCATACACTTCCTCATGTTGTAGTGACCCACAAGCATAAAAATTATTTTAGTTTATTTATGTATTTACAGTATTTATATTCCGCCCTTTCCACCCGCAGTGGACTCAGGGTACATTACAATGTACATATACATGGCAAATGTTCAATGCCATAGACACACAACATATATAGACAGTAGGCTTGGGCGGGTTCAACATTCCAACTTTCATGAGGATATTCTGGCCACCAGGGGAGCTGTCACTTCACCGTCCATTCGCAACACTGATGAAGTACTTCCTCATTCCCTGCATGCTTGCTGGAGATTTTTATGGCATCGTAAAATCTCCAGCATACGCGGTACCTAAATTTCCTACTTGACAGATGCAGCTTTTGGGCTGCAAAGGTCAACAGCAAGCTACACAAAATTGGTCGGACGCTCACTCCGACCCGGGTTAGCTTCGAACTCATGACCTTTTGGTCAGTAGTGATCTTAATGCAGCTGACTCCCAGCCAGCTGCGCAACTGTCCCAGTTGCTACTTCATAATTGTAATTTTGCTACTACTATTTATTATTAAATAAATAAATATGAATACATCCTGATATGCAGGATGTATTTCCATTCACTGCACCAAATTTGGCAGAAATACCTAATATGCCCAAATTTGAATACTGGTGGGGCGGGGTTGATTTTGTCATTTGAGAGTTGTAGTTGTTGGGAGTTGTAGTTCACCTACAATCAAACAGCATTCTGAACTCCACCAACAATGGAATTGAACCAAACTAGACACACAGAACTCGCATGACCAACAGAAAATGCTGGAAGGGTTTGGTGGGCATTGACCTTGAGTTTGGGAGTTGTAGTTCACCTTTATCCAGAGAGCACTGTGGACTCAAACAATGATGGATCTGGACCAAACTTGGCACAAGCACTCAATACAACCATTAATGTATTGTCAAAGGCTTTCATGGCCGGAATCACTGGGTTGTTGTAGGTTTTTGGGCTATATGGCCATGTTCTAGAAGCATTCTCTCCTGACATTCGCCTGCATCTATGGCAAGCATCTCTCAGAGGTAGTGAGGTCTGTTGGAACTAGGAAAAAGGGTTTATATCTCTGTAGAATGACCAGGGTGGTACAAAGGACTCTTGTCTGCTGGAGCTAGGTGTGAATGTTTCAACTGACCACCTTGATTAGCATATAATGGCCTGACAGTGCAAACCTGTGTTGAGAGGTGATTAGATGTCCTTGTTTGTTTCCTCTCTGTTGTTGTGCTGTTGTAATTTTAGAGTTTTTTAATACTGGTAGTCAGATTTTGTTCATTTTCATGGTTTCCTCCTTTCTGTTGAAATTGTCCACATGCTTGTGTATTTCAATGGCTTCTCTGTGTAGTCTGACATGGTGGTTGTGAGAGTGGTCCAGCATTTCTGTGTTCTCAAATATGCTGTGTCCAGGTTGGTTCATCAGGTGCTCTGCTATGGCTGACTTCTCTGGTTGAAATAGTCTGCAGTGCCTTTCATGTTCCTTGATTCGTGTTTGGGCAATGCTACCTTTGGTGGTCCCTATGTAGACTTGTCCACAGCTGCATGATACACGGTAGACTCCTGCAGAAGGGAGAGGATCACTCTTGTCCTTTGCTGAATGTAGCATTGGTTGGATTTTCTTGGTGGGTCTTTCCTGTCTTCTCATTATGTGACAAAGTACTTCCTCTTTGTCTCTAATATCCTTTCCTCCAGCATTCGGGCTTTATTTCCTGAAGTATGGACTGGTTGGATCTTCTGGCACTCTCAGAACTTTCCTCCAACACCACAGCTCAAAAGCCTCGTTCTTCCTTCGCTCAGCCTTCCTTCTGGTCCAGCTCTCACATCCATAGGTTCCTACGGGAAATACCATGGCTTTAACTATGCCGATCTTTATTGCCAGTGTGATGTCTCTACTCTTCACTATTTTATTGAGATAGGACATTGCTCTCCTCCCAAGAAGGAAACGTCTTCTGATTTCCTGGCTGCTGTCTGCGGTCATCTTCATGCCTAGAAATATAAAGTCTGTAGCTGCCTCCAGGTTTTATCCCTTTATTTGCCAGTTCTCAATCCGTCTGGTTGCCATCACCTTGATGTTTAACTGCAACCCAGCTTTTGCCCTTTCTCCTTTCACCTTGGCTAGAAGGCTCCTCAGCTCCTCTCTTTTAGTCATCAAAGTGGTATCATCTGCATATCTAAGGTTGTTCATATTTCACCCAGCATTTTAATTCCAGCCTTGCATTCCTCAAGGCCCACACATCGCATGATGTGTTCTGCATACAAGTTAGAAAGGTTGGGTGAGAGATACACCCTACCGTACGCCTTACCCAATCTTGAACCAGTCTGTTGTTCCATGGTCTATTCTTCATGTTGCTACTTTGTCTTGATACAGTTTCCTCAGTGTACAAACAAGGTGACTTGGCCTCTCCAGACCACCAAAAACTTTCCACAATGTGTTATGATCCACACCGTCAAAGGCTTTAGAACATTCAGTAAAACAGAAATAGATGTTTTTCCTGAAACTCCCTACCTTTCTCCATTATCCAGCATCCGGATATTGGCAATTTGGTCTCTTGTTGGCAAAGAAAAGTTCATGGTGTGTTCGAATGCTTTCATGGCAGGAATCAGTGGATTCCTGTGAGTTTTCCAGGCTGTATGGCCATGTTCCAGGATCTGTATCCAGAGGTGAGAAGGGTGGGATAGAAAGGCCCAAAATCTATATAAATAAAAATGTAATGTTTGTTTGTGGGATTAACAGAACTCAAAAACCACTGGGATTGACACCAAATTTGGACACAAGACACCTAACAACCCAATGTATGTCCTTCACTCATAAAAACAATGAAAAACACAGTAGAAGGTACTTATAAAGCCCCAAAAAGCTAAATGACGAAAAGGGAAGAAAGAGGGAAGGAAGGGGAGAAAAAGAAAGAAAATAAAGAGGGAGGGAAGGGAGGGAGGGAGGGAGGGAGGGAGGGAGGGAGGGAGGGAAGAAAGAAAGAAAGAAAGAAAGAAAGAAAGAAAGAAAGAAAAAGAAAGAAGGGAGAAGAAAGAAAGAAAGAGGGAGAAGGAAAGGAGAAAGAGAGAAGGAAAGGAAGGAAAGAGAGAAGGAAGAAAAGAAAGAGGGGGAAGAAAAAGGGGGAAGGAAGGAAAGTTAGAGAAGGAAGAAGGAGAGAAGGAAAGTAAAAAGGGAAAGAAGGAAGGAAAGAGGGAGTAAAGGAAGGGGAAGATGTAGAGAAAGAGGGAGGGAAGGAAAGTAGGAAAGAAGAAAAGAGAGAAGAGAAGAGAAAGAAAAAGGGGGAAGGAAGGAAAGAGATAGAGAAGGAAGGAAGGAGAGAAGGAAAGACGGGAAGGAAGGAAGGAAGAGGGAAAGAAGGAAGGAGGGAAAGAAGGAGAGAAAGAGGGAAGGTTGGCCACAGCAACGTGTGGCGGGTACAGCTAGTAAATAATAAATCTATATAAATAAAAATGTAATGTTCGTTTGTGGGATTAACAGAACTCAAAAACCACTGGACGAATTGACACCAAATTTGGATACAAGACACCTAACAACCCAATGTATGTCCTTCACTCAAAAAAATTATTTTGTCATTTGGGAGTTGTAGTTGCTGGGATTTATAGTTCACCTACAATCAAAGAGCATTCTGAACCCCACCAACGATGGAATTGAACCAAACTTGGCACACAGTTCTCCCATGACCAACAGAAACCCTTGGAAGAGTTTGGTGGGCAGTGTCCTTTGGTTTTGGAGTTGTAGTTCACCTACAATGATTCAAACAATGATGGATCTGGACCAAACTCTACAAGAATACTCAATATGCCCAAATGTAAACACTGGTGGAGTTTGGGGAAAATAGAATCTTGACATTTGGGAGTTGTAGTGCTGGGATTTATAGTTCACCTACAATCACAGAGCATTCTGAACCCCACCAACGATAGAATTGGGCCAAACCTCCCACACAGAACCCCATGTGGGCCACAGTAACACAGGGGACGGCTAGTATATATATAAATTATCTCCTGGTGTTTCGCCCACATCTATGGCAGGCATCCTCAGAGGTTGAGGGGTCTGTTGGAAACAGGAAAGAGTTCTTTCTCCCAACCTGGACATTCCACAGATATATAAGCCTCACTTGCCTAGTTTTCAACACACCTCACAACCTCTAAGGATGCCTGCCATAGATGTGGGCAAAACGTCAGGAGATAATGCTTCTGAAACATGGCCAGGCAGCCCGGAAAACTCAGAGCAACTCAAAGTTCGTGGAATTCATGGGGCCGCCCTAAGTATTTAGGCGACTTAAAGACGCACACACATTTTAATCCACTGGAACCTTGAATTGGCAATCCCAGCAGTTTATTTAAAAACTCCCTTCATAATTACTTCTTCTGTCTTCAGTCCCTTAAAGACA